CTACTAAAGTGGTCAAGACTTATCTAGATTTTAGTAGCTAATATTTGATTTACTAATTTATAATAACTTGTATTATTAATTAAATATTTTTTAATATTTCTGTCTATAGCTTTGGTATGCTGCTCTGGGAACTTTGCTATCAAAAGATTCCTTACGAAGGCATGGATCTAACCAAAATCCTGGAACATATTAAGAATAAAAAACGTGAAACGCTTGATATTGTTCTTCACTCATCTCCAATTCCAAGAGAACTTGCTAGAATTATTAAATCAGGTAATGATTTTTTCATTCATTAAGATGTAATTATATGTCTGAATTTTCATGCTTATTTTTTTTTTATTTTTTTGGCTTATTATTAAGCTTGGGAAGAAGATCCTTCATCTCGTCCCTTGGATTTAGAGTTACAATTGAAATTTGGTGAACTTTGTAATAAATATGTATTCTCTAATAATGCTCAAGATAATAGAATGTTAGATTTCGAATTGCATCGAAATCGAAATAGTTCTCATCTTATTCCACAGAGTTTTAACGGAAGTTTATTTGATGTATCTAATGGAGTTGATACAATTAATTCTGATTCTTCCTCAACATCAATACAAACTTTAACACCTCTTGAAGATGGTTTAAGAGCTCACAAAAAGAAAAATTATAAGGAAGCCTGGAAATGTTTTTCTGATCATGCAAACCTTGGAAATAATATTGCAAAGTATTGGAAGGGATATTATCTAACGTGTGGATATTGTACTGAAAAAGATCTTAAAGCAGCTCGTCAGCTCTTTAAAGAAGCTGCTGATAACGGTATTGCTGATGCACAACTTCGTTACGCATTTGCTCTTATAGAAGATAAACGCAATTTGAATGTTACTGAAATATTAAAATATATGAATATGGCGGCTGATCGTGGAAATTCTACTGCACTTTATAATTTAGGTGATATTTATTGGAATGGAAAGCTTAAAGTTCCCGTTGATAAAGTAAAGGCGGAATTATATATTAGGTTGGCAGCTTTAAAAAATCAATCTAGAGCTGCTGAATTCTTGGAAAAAATACATAAAGAATCAAAAAATGAGTCTGTTTTTAGAGAAATTGAAACTGATGATTCAAAAACTATAGCTATTATTGGAGCAGCCGATAGTGATGATTCAAAAACCATAGTGATTAATGAAGCAATCGTAATTGAACAACCAGTAAATGAAACAATCAATGTTGAAGAATCAATAAATGCAATGGTTACTGAAGAAACTAATGCTGAAGAATCAATGAATGAAATGATCACTGAAGAAACTAAAGTTGAAGAATCAATGATTACTGAAGAAACTAAGGTTGAAGAGTCAAAAGATAAAATGATTGCTAAAGAAATTAATATTGAAGATTCAAAGAAGACAATTACTGAAGAACCTAAAGCTGAAAATGGAATGATCATAGAAGAAACTAAAAGTAACGAATCAAAGAATGAAATGAACGCTGAAGAAACAAAAGTTGAAGAGTTAAATAAAATCATTGCCGAAGAAGCTAAAATTAAAGAGGTAATAACCGAAGAAATTAAAGTTGAAGAATCAAAATATGAAATTATCACTGAAGAAGCTAAAGATAAAGATCAAAAAAATGGACAAGTTAATCAAGACACGGAAGTTGGCGGAGATATGAAAGAATAATAACAAGGAATATATTAACTACTGTATTTTATAATAATAAATGATATAAATATTTGTAAATCATAAAATTAAGGTATTAATAAATATATATAGCAGTCACAGGACATGTCAATATATGAAGGCTTAGAATGTTGTTACTTATAAATCAAATGAGTTGACGCACCTAATTTTATATGTAAATTTTTGCAAAAAAATTGTTAAAATCAAATTTATTTAAAAATATATATATACCTTTCTTCAAATTTTAAATATATATTCTTTAGCATTTAATAATCCTTTGTTTAAAGTTTTAGTTCTAAATTTTAAGTAGAGGGATGGAAATCTTCCTCTAAAGTTGATTAATTTTTTACTATGTTCTTTAAGTCAAATAACTGACTCACCCTATTCAGCAATATTATTGGTTAAAATAATCTTTTAAATATTAAAGAAGGTTTTATAAGTAAAGAGTTTTTTAGCTTTAAATAAAGCTATAGAGAAGGTTTTTCTAATTATAATGGTGGTTAGATTATTAAAATTGGTTTGGTAGATTCCAAACTTGGAGTTAAAAAAAAGAATATAAGAATTTACAATTTCACTATTATACAAAGGGCTGTAGTAAAGTATCCAGTATACATGTTATTTGAAAAATCTGCTGATAATTATCAAAGACAATTCTAGAAAAAAAATATAAAATATTATGATTAGAACAAGAAAAACAAAATAAAGAATCATTAATAATTATAGAGATCTTATAAAAATAAAAATAGATAGTAAAACAAACTCATTATACTTGAGACCAATACAATCAAGACCAGAAATATTTAAAAGTAAAGATAAAAGAAAATAAATACAATATAGATATGGTAATTCAGAAATAAAAAATATAAAAGTAAACTAATAGAATTTAAAAAAGAATAAAATTGAAAATATACAAAGAATTAGTATATATTTTAAATAAATATGGAAAACTAATAATACTAATATTAGTAATAAAAAAACCCTTAAAAACAATAAAAATATATATACTACAATCTAAAACATAAACTGCAATTAAAATTGACAAAAAAAAATTATTTAGTAACAACACTATTGCATATTACCAAAGAGAAATATATATATAAACCAGATTAATAAATAATTAAATAATCAGAATAATCAATTATACTAATAATCTAAAAATAATACAAAAAAGACAAATATAGAAAATATAAAAAAAATTAAAAATATAATTAAAATAAGAATTAATCAATTTGTAATCATAGATTACAATAAATTTTTTGTAACTATAACTAAGATCAGGTGTAATGTGAATATCAAAATAATAATTTTTTATAAATAAGCTCTTGCAGTTAAAGGTCAGAGTTAGAGTGATATTATAGTTGAAGCAAGATATAGTTTATATCAAAATTTAGCAAGAAATTTTTTTTGTTAGAATATAAAAGATAGTTTTATAATCAAATTTTTGAGTTATTAATAATTTTTTTTTTGTTTTGATTTCATATTATACCTAATCTTAAAATTTAATTAGCTTTATTGGATACAGTTACAGTAACTGTGATTACAAATTTATTAACTCTTAAAATAAAAGAACTTTGTAAAATAAACAAGTATAAATATGATATAAAAATAGAAAAAAAAAGATTTACAAAAAAAGAAAAAATAAAAATATTATTAAAAAATATAGATAAATAGGTTAGAAAAAGACTAAAATCAATATTTATAAAATATATAGATATATTTTACATAAAAAAAAACAGTATTTAATAAAAATACTTTGGAAGACTTAAAGAAGTAGAACTAGAATTAGATAAACCAAAATAAGAAATACTACAAAATTATAAAGCAAGACCAATAAGAAATTATTCTGAAGAACAAATAAAACAATCAAAGAAATTATATAAAAAACTAAGTAAACCAAATATAATAAAACCCCCCAAAACAGACTGAATAGCACTATTAGTAATTGTATCAAAACTAAACAAAAGTTATAAAGCAGCAATAGATTATACAATACTTAATAGATATTTAAAAAAAGGTTTATAGTTAGACCTCTCTAAATATATATTCTGTAAATACATAGTCTTTCTAAATATATAGCCTTGTTTGTCCCAACTTATATAACACTTATAGGTTTTTATCTTCCTAAATACAATACCTCTCTAAATGCAAGATTTTTTTGTCACCTGAGACTATATATTTAGAAAGGTCTAACTGTATTTGAAATATCAAATATATTTATAATACTTTAATAAATAGCAAAACAATTTTTTTTTAAATATAATTTTAAAAGTGCTTATTATTAGTTCTCTTTAAAAGAATTTGAAAGAAATAAAAATACTACATATTTTTCTGGTATAGGAAAATTTAGATTTATAAGATATTTAATAAAAATTAATAATGCATTAGTATTTATAGTATTATATAGAAAAATCTTACTAAATCAAGTTAAAATAAAAAAAATACAAAAAATCAAACTATTTAAGATAAAAAAAGTACAACAATTAACAGAATCAATAAATTACTTTAGATGATTTATATCTAAATTTGAAAATATTGTATAGTCAATATACAACTTATTAAAAAAGAATTAAAAATTTAAGTAAACACAAGAATATCAAAAAGCTTTTAAAATATTAAAAAATAAGATATTAAATACTATATCTTTAATATACCAAAAAAGTAATATTAGTTAATAATAGAAACAGAACCTAAGATAAAGGAATAAACACTATACTCAAGCAAATAAATCCAAATCTTGTATATTATAAAACTAAAGAAGCATGAAAAAATAGAACAAAGAAAAAGGATAATTATATCAAATCAGATAAAGAAATAATAGAATTTGTATTACATATACCAAATCTAATAAACAATTATAAAGAGCTATACAAAAAAAACTTTATATTATATATTATTATCTTAATTATTAAAAATATTATATTGAAACACAAATATAGTTATACAAACTAATAGTACTAGAATAAATAACTTATCAAAAAAAATACCAAAAAATTAAACCATAAAAAGATAGTTTATCAAATTACAAACCTTTAATTAAACTATAGAATAAATTAAAATATTGCAAATTGGCTAAATAGACAAATAAAAATAGATAAAAATAATAAACAAGTTGTAAAACTAAATATTAGAATAAAAAATATATAAATAAAAAAAATACTAAACTTAAAAATACTTAAACAAAGAGCAAAAAATTAAACCAAAATATTATTACCAATAGAAAATCAAAAACTAATACTACCAAATTAGAAACTACAGTAAATAAAATACTCCAAGATAAATCAAAATGTATAGAATATCTTATAGATAAAAAGTACTACTGCAACAAATAGAATGTTTAAATATTTACTGCTAAAAACAAATAAATTTAAAAGAAAAAATTCAAATAAATGCTGTAAATTAAAAATATCATTTTTCAATAGAACAATCTTTTTAAATATCAACTTATCTTGTAACCAAATACTATTGATAAAATATTACTAGATAATTAAACTTAAAAGAAAACAAATTTAAATTGTTACAGAAATAACACTACTAACAATAACATATTAAATCAAAATATTTAGAACATATATAACTTATAAGTTAAAAAAATATAAAACCAAGATAGGAGAAAAGATAATATTGTAGAATATAATAAATTAATATTTTTTAAAGACCAAAAGAATAATAAAACAAACAAAGTATGAGTATTTAAAAGAATATTTCAAAATACAAAAGAATTCTTTGCAGAAGTAGTATTAGATAGAATATCTAAAATATAGATAAACCTAATTTAGAAATATACTTATCTAGAATTAACAATCTATATAGTAATATTTCTTAAATATGAATAAATTCCAAAATAGTATAAATAATTTTGAGATAAATTTATACTATTCTTCTATTTCAGAAAATTCTTTAGATACAAATGAAACTTCTAAATTAGATGAATCTAATTTTCTTTTAATATCTACTAAAATAATTTAAAATACTGTATTATATTCCAATTATAACCAAAAAAAAGAAAACCAACCTCTAATTTGACCTTATTAGTTAAAACTACATAAAATAGAAGCTATATCACTAAATTTTTTTAACCTGATTTAAATAATAAAGAAATTGTATATTGTAAATATATAAGAACAAATTAAAAAATTCTTAGCAAAAACCTTATTTATATACAAATAACACTTCTAATTTGAATACTCATTTGTATAATAAATATAAAATAATTTAGAATAATTACAAACAATTCTTAATAAACCTAATAAACCAACTGTTGATCTGTTGATAAAACTAAAATAACTAATTTTTTAAAAAATTAGCTTTATATACAAACCAATATCAGATTTATCTTTTACAACTTTTTATTAAATTTATTATAAAATTTATTAAACTATTGTATATATTACAAGATAAAGATTTTTCTGAATTTGTAAATGCTTATAAACTAGAATTTTAAATATTATATACAAAAATTGCTAAAAGCTTTATTTACTAAGTATATAACTAGAACATTGATTAACTTAGTAGATTAATTTTAAATACAGCAATTTGTGTTTATTTAACTATAGATCTTTAAACCATAAAAAGTAAATATAATTATATTGGTATTATAAATACTGTATTTGGCTTTCTAATGATTATACTTTTAAAAAAGTTTTTTTAGCTTGTAGTAATTTATTATATCTTTATAGAAGTTTTTAGTACAATACTTTTTTCAATTATTCAAAAATAGAATTTAAATTTATTAGTATATATAGTAACTATTAATAGTACAACTAATATAATTAAAGAAATAGATATATTTAAATTACAATTATCTGGAGTTATAAAAATAGTATGTGCTATCTATATTTTGCAACTAATAGTTCAAGAAGAATTAAAACAATGCAAAGCAGTGTATTGTTAAACAAAAATTTGCAATCATTTTTAAACAAATGCAAAGACTTTATAAAATACAATTACAAATTAAGGATAATATTATTATTATATCTAATAATTAAAATAAAAATTACAAT